TTAGTGCTTAGCGAGATATTAGGTGTACGGTAGAGCTTAGAATCACCGATTTAGCTGATAAAAAAGGTTTAAAGGTGGTGGTACGCGCTAATTACAAACATGATTTCCTCCCCATAGTACTGTCTTAGAGAGATAAGAAGGTATACGGTAGGAGTCAAAATGACAAATCCACAATGAAGTGCTACTATGTGGAGTGGATACGATATTTATATTCGGCAATGTGAAATAACGCCATAGAGAATTCCAGGTCTATCGTGACTTCGTCCCCCCTATTGCACCTTCACATTAAACTGCTCCCGTGCGGATGTTATGTTATTCGTGACCAAAACTTGTAATCACCTAGGACGAACTTTAAGCGATATAGAAAATTTGGATTTTTTTTGGGTCAGAGAAGTTTAGTGCTCTGTTTCTGTTTGAACTCAGAGGGATTAGCGTGCCTTGGCAATACAATTCTCGTTCCGTTTTTTATCAAAAGAAATACTTTTCCAGTGAGAAGTAGCATCAGAAGTTGATTAGTGCTCTGTATCAGTAAAGCAGATTTTTCAAACTTTGCAATGGAAATCATCTCTTCTGCTTTTTTTCCGATAGAGCTAAATGCTTGTGACTTGTATAAGCAAAGAGATGCTTTAAATTGAGTTGTGAAGTGGACCAGTAAGTATTTCATCTCATTTTCTTTGACGTTATCGCTCCCTTTCTCCGCTTCGAGTTGTGCACTCGTTAGGGATGTTTTTTTCTCTGAATTAATAATTGAAGATAAATATGACAGTTGCTATTATTCTCTGCTTGCATAAGAGATTGCTACTTCTATAAACATATTTTAGAAGTTCGGTTGGTACTGAGGCATACGATGCCTATGTGAAACAGTTCCAGGAATGGGAAAAGGACGTTGAGAAACGAAGGAAGTCTCTACGGGAAAAAGTGCGTAAATTTTGTTTGATATTTCAATCAGTGTTTTTTTGATACCAATTTGCACTTACTTAACGTCAGGCTTTTGCTATTGCTTTAAAAACAATACTATTTTCTGGTTTCTCTTCCACTTTATAGGCATGGGGGTGATTCTTGTGTCGAACTGGGAAGCACAGCGGAGGTTCTACCTCCAGCAGGCAAGTTGAAGAGGTTTGGCAGGTCCGGCTTTCCGGCCTAGTTAAGAATAGAATCAGCCAGAAGTGCCCTGTCCGGCTGAGTCACTGTCGGTTGTTGATTGTTTCTCTGATCCACATGGGTCGCCGACTGCT